ATATATATATATATATATATATATATATATATATATATATATATATATATATATATATATATATATATATATATATATATATATATATTGTTTATAAACAATACTGCAGAGACTTAATTTATAAATTGAGTAATTGTAGTACTTTAATTTATAAAGGAGTAAACTCATACCTGATAGGTGACAATAATCTTCAACTGCTAAAGTGGATGTAGTTATCTTCTTAGTCCAAAGCAATCACTAGCATTTCATTTCCCAGGTAATGGTTTTATACCCTTTGGCTGCGACTGATCTACGAATGTAAACACTTTTGCGTGACGTAAGAACGATCAGTCTGACGTCGTGAGCACTGCAAATAGTCTCATGACGTTTACGTCAATCTTGAGGTATCTGTTACAATTTGCGAGCTTCCGTCGTAAACTATGCATTTAAAATCTCGAACGATATGTATATTAGGTTATTTTGAGGCAACGAGGGGATATGTGATTTGTTCACCGAGGCGCGCAGCGCGCGCCGAGGTGAATAAACACAAATCTCCTCGTTGCCTGAAAATAACGCACTTATTTTTCACATTACGAGGTCGCTTTAATGAGTCAGAATAGAAATCATTCTTAATGCCATATTGCCTTCGTTATGTTGTTTTCTCTTATTTTTTGTGCTGCAAAAACATTGCAGGTGAATATTAGAGAGGATTATTAAACGGATATTGATTAGAGGGGAATATTGAATATATTCCCCAATAAGAACAAAGAAAACCCGGCGACGAAATACTAACACGCTGCAGGGCCACACAACATGTTGAGTTCTATTTAATACAATTTCCACAGTTTAGACGTCTTTTGCCGGAGCTGGTGAAATCAAAAAGTCGGATTTCAATCATAAATTTCAAAAATACAAATTTTGATTGAAAATATTGCGTAAATGTTGAAATGTTAGCATATTTTAATCTCTGTTCAGCCGGTAATCTCAAAACAATTGATCAAAAAATACATCCTATTGCAGCCATTAATAATTAGTGTATGCGAGAAATCAGAAGAACATCAAAGACTTTTTATGGAATTGGGTGTGTGAAATATAATTATGCGTTTTAATTAAGCGTAAGATAGATGGGAAATGCGTGTGTCCCTCACGAAACATGATACGCGCCAAATGTTACAACAAATGTTCTATGACAAGGTTTTGGTTTCCTGAACGCCACGATAGCTATTACAACAATAGATCGCTGACCAATCTCATGCAAATGCTCAAATTACTTTGCAAATTTTTCTTTGTTGATTCCACAATAGTTTTTCTTTTCTATACGAGTTGTTCACTTGTCCAATGCATGACTGTTGGGTCTCATTTCGATTATCACCGAATTGGTCAGTTTCAGATAAAGCCACTTGGGATAGCTTTAATCAGGGCCTTTCCTAGACGCGATTATTGGGGGAGTGTATATTCATATATTCCTGTTCACATACCGTAAAAACAATCGCTTTCGGAAAGAAACCGTCGTGCAGAACGAATATATCAATACACCCCCCCCCCCCAATTATCGCGCTAGGCTTAATGGCTTTAATGTTTATATCCAACTCATTTATACCTTTTTTCAAACATTTTCTGTTAGATCTCGTAGTCAGATAGCCATGATTTGATTATGTAGTTTAACAGACCTCGTTAGACAGTGTGAAACTAAATTTTTCTTCCATGTATTCAAGTATAAATTTCATAAGGAGCACTTTAATTTATGCATAACCCCAAACGAATCGTACGTGTGCAGGGGCAAGCTTTTCGCCAAAGCTGCACGTAGGATCGTGCTATGACGTAAGCTAATCTTCCAATGAGAAGTTTTGCAAAATTTGGACCGGTATAGTAGCCATCATTAATAATTAAACAGGAAATAACTCAAACCTTTCTCATCATACCACACGTAGCAAGGAAAATATGATCCCATGCATCTGTGCGTATAGGTTTTTGTTATGCGTATATTCATCTCGTCAATCCAACGTAAACGCATTTGGCTGGGCATAGCAGAATCTCTGTTTCCTATTTGATCGTAGTGCAGGCAAATTTGATGATCAAAATTTTCTGATCAGACAGTCTCAAACCGAACATTGTTACACTTTCTCTCTAATGAACTAGCCAGCATGGCCGGCTCTTTTATAGGGCAGATAATTGAAGGAGAGCCTGCCCGGAAGCCCTAGTAAAATTGATCACTCCTGGCTGCCGAGAATTGTGATTGGCTGAATTTACGTTGGCCACAGTTTGATTGACATGTTACGCTAATTTTTCAAAAATTTTTAAATAAATACAGTAAAAACAAACGCTATATTAAAGTGTAAACCTGTCGGCTAAAATATAAAATTCAAAAGACAAAGTGTAAAATGTATAACATATACCGGTATCTAAACAGAATAAGGCAAGCCATACTGCTATTACTGCATATGTCGTAAGATTTTACCGTATGGTCACTATAGTATAGAGTATAAAACCTTGGCTGTCCTTGCCTTGTTTATATTTTGCTGGCTGGCAAATTACGATTATATAAAATAATACATTCCCCATTGTGTTTAATACACCATAATAATACGAAGCTCTCTTTGGAGCTTTTAAAATACATTTGCCTGCCAACGTGTATAACACGGGAAGGGTTCTATTTACTTTTCCTAAGTCATTTATTATATTTAATACTGCAATATTTATAACTGTAGTACAGCCATACAGGTGCAAAGCATAATATAATTTTGAACGGTCTTCGTCTACTATTAATTTCCAGACAAAGTCGAAGGGCCTTCGCTCGAAATGCCGACGTTTTGCTTGTATTTCCAGGCAGTTGAATCGCTATCCATCTATTGTAAAAAGTTTATTGAAAGCATGTAGCGCAGGCTATAGTAAATATGCAACAATTAACATTTCAAGTCATCAATTTATACAAAACTATTTCGAGTGGGCGGTGTTAATATGGAATATTAACTAAGTGGGCGGCATCAATTTGACTAGGGCTTTCGGGCAGGCTCTACTTATAAAAGAGCCGGCCACGCTGGCTA